CCAGCTTTTTGGTACGAACATTCGAAAATATAGCGGACTATTTTGTACCTTCTTGCCTTCGAAAGCTCTCCGCCTTTTCACTATGATACATCCGCGGTTCCAAAAGCGCGTCACCGGCGCCAAACTGATGTCAGCAGAGCCCAGCTCACGCATTGGACACAAGAACTGCGTCACTCGGACGTATGCGCTCGTCAACAATCAATCCGTCGACGAATATTTGGATTCGCGTTTGTGGCCAATGAGCGCCCAGACGGAACTTATCGTCACTGGGGAATGACAAGTTCTATGGTGTGCATAAAAAGCACGGTGGAAGCAAGGAGTCATCGCACCGGTGCCTAAGGAATGTCACGACCACGTGATTTCACAATTTGCATTTGAGTTGAGGATTAAAGCTAAGGAGGAAGAAGTAGGAAAATCGTTTCATGACCCCTTTAAAGAGAAACAATTTGGGGCTCGAATCTCGCAAGATTGGGAATCTTGGTGGATCCTGACGAAGGTTGGCCTGTCGGTCGAATGAATGCCAAGACAGCATAAAAAAGTTGCAACTGGCCATGAAAATACATTTTTTTTTATATATACTCTCGTTTGCACGAGTCCTTCCAAATGCGCCCACACATGCAGAATAAGAAAACGAGTGCTTTGCGCATTGCCTGGACAGAGCGTTGAAAAAAAACAATCCTGGAGCGGAGTGGCACGTACTCAACGGCGTGAATAAAACTAAATTATGCACGAGCACACGCAGGCATTTCGCAGCAACTTAGTCACATAGCATCATCTGGACAGAAGGTCTAACAAATGATTTGAGGCCAAAAACGTGCCACACTGTGGCAGCAGTGGTTTCAACTGTCGCCACTGCCACAATATTTCTGTCTCCACAAGTGTCACTACAAGAGCAATCATTAACGTGAAATTGATTCACACAGAAAATTCATAATACCAATCACTTTTGCTTTGCGAGGTCGCGCAACGGCTTCGTTAAAAATAAACATTCGTTAAACAGGAATTTGCTACAGTAGTCGGAGAAACACATTGACCACGGGAGAGTGGCCGGGACTTAATTTCATTCGGTTAAACGGGTGCTTTCGTAATAGAGGCATTGCTTATAAAGGCGTTTGACTGTACTAATGCACACCGGAACATGTGTTCTGGATTCGCAGGTAAAGGAGGTACCACTTTAGCAGGGTTGGCCAGAGGTAATTCAAAGGCAGCATGCATCTTAAGGTCAAGGTACAGACACTGAGATATGTTTTTTGTTGGATATCGCCGCTTTCCCACTTGATCTGTTCACAACCACCAGGTGGCTAAAAAAATATTCTCACGGCCAACGACTGGCTCCCCCAGTCTGCCCAAGCGAACTCTGTTTGGCTCCGAGGGTGCACCTCCAACTCGTGTGCTTGGGGGAAGTCTACTCATTTCCTCCACCTCTCTAGCAACTCTCAAGTCCAAAGAGCAACTATGCTCCACTCCTATACATCCTAGAGAGGAGGATGTGTAGCAACTAAAAAAGCTACTTTTCAGCTTATCCTACAAACCCCAAATGTAACGAGATGCCTAAGCCTAGCAGAGGACCGCAACAGAATCGATACGCTCGAAACATATTTTACTACCAAGATACCAAAGCACTTTTCTCTGTACCTCTGTATCTCGATAGAGAGGTACAGATACTTCAAAGTACCTCTAAGGTACTGTCGGGACACTGGCCTATGCTTTAGCAGACAATATGTAGCTCGTGTCAGTGCTCTTTGAAAAGTGGTCTTCTTGCTGTCTGGTTAAGTCTGCTAACTGAAACAGTGACCTGCTTCAGCCTCCTGTCTTCTCTCTAAAGTTAGGTCTGCCACGTCTATATGGCTAATGAGAAAGCTTTATGGAAGATTTTTAGCTGAACCCTACGCTGTTCTTAGAAGCTGCACATAGATGGTCAAAGGAATCCATTGGCCTCAGAATTTGGAGGATACCCTCCAAATTCTGAGGTCCTAGCATGACAGAGACATTAGAGGCAAATGTAGTAGCTTCAAAAAAGACAGCATCTCCATCTATTCACTCCTACATATTTATACATGCCTTTCTCCGTAAAGCGGAATCGGCCACTTGGAACGTACCAAATGTGTAAAAATTGAGCCACGGAAGGCCTCGAGAAAAGTCTCAAATTAAATTATTCCGGCACTCCGCATATTCGTAGCACCACAAAGTATTCCTGTTGGCAAACTTCCCAGCATCAACAGCCAACACTTTTGCGGCAGTCTTCCCCAAACAGAAAACATGCATAGACACAACATTGTATGGGTACATAAATTTTTTAAAAAGTCACAAAAAATGCTACTTCTAAATTTTATGGCCCCTGAAACATGCGATCCCAGCTAGGGGCAATGAAGCAAAGATCCTTCCAAGTCAGCAGTCAACTCTCATTAATTCAAACTTGCGGATAATTCAAACTAACATGCAGGTCGCATCCTATGCATCCCTATGGGAAGAAACTCCCAATAATTCAAACTCTGCTTTATTCCATCAAATTTTCAGCCCAATATTCGGCCCCCCTCGAGTTTGAATTAACGAGATTCCCGTCGTTGGTAAGGGAACACCATTTCCGCCCAGGTCCCCATTGGTCAGGGCCCCGCAATTCCTAGGGGTCTTCCGGCGTTATTGAAGCACTAAAAAATCTTGCCGAAAATAACGGTGGGTTCAGGGATGTAAGAAAAGTTGTAGAGGCACATTTTAAATATCAAATACGACGTCAGCATTTTTATTTGCTGGGCCCTTGCAACCCCATCGGCAACGAGGAATACCCGACATGTGGATGCGCGCACTTCCAAAAAATGCTAATTGTAGCACTGGACAACCTTTTTTTTTTTTTCTTTCTGCGGCATTAGAATGTGCAACAATGTCCTCCCACAAAAACAGCGGAGTGATCAATGGAATTTGGTGAATGCACAATGTGTATGGCACTATGCTTTCGTCTAAAACACCACTGCAGAATGCCTCCGCTTGCACCTGATGTCGTTTTGCTCCGCCACTGCTAGGTAGAATAGAGGACTGTTGAGAATTACAAACTCCGTGTACTGAGGCAGTAGACGGGAAGTGAAACTGAGCTTTTGAAGCAACTTTTGAGAGAGACCCACCTGGTAAGTTTTGGGGCAGTCGAAACTGGGTGCGAGAGCGCGGCTTTACTACAGACTCAAAACATCTATGAAGGTGACCAGTATGCTACTGACAGTGGAAAAATTTCTCAGCAGTGTTAGGATTTTTGGGAAAAGCAAGGTTTTGGGACTCGAGACTCGACCGATAAATTCTCACGAGCAGTTGGCTCACAAATTCGAAATTCAGGTGCTTTGTGCAAGGCTTTGGTACGAGTCTAGGCTCACTTTGGCATCAGGATGGTGCAGCCAAGGTACTTTAGATGTCGGGGAAACGCTACCCACGGCGACACTGCCAGAAGGTCAAATGACGCGAGTTCGAGTCACATTTTGAAACGCGACAAACAAATTGAACTTGCTACCAAATTAGCACCGGGTGCCGATTTCACTGATTTGGGCGAGTCACGAGGGCATCCTACCTCACGAGGGCATCCTACCTGAGATCACTGCAATCATGAAGGGTGTAGATTACGAAGGGTGTACACAAAATCACTATAAATAACCGGGACATGGCCTACTGCCCTGGAATGGCCTCTGAAATCGAGCGTTAAATACATTCATGCTCAAATCTGAGCCCGATTTGTCTCGTAGGTAATCGCGGTATTTCATATAATTGTTGCCTCAAACTATCGCTGCGATCGGGCAAGTTGGCGAGAACAAACGTCCCGCATTTCTTGTGTCCCAGTTTTGCTTTAGAAAGCTCCCGAAACGAACAGTAGAGTTAAACAAAGAATAACAAAAGCGGGGCTTTGCCCTGTAACACAGTCCAACCAAAACGTCCATCCCAGGCAAAAAAGAACAAAGGGTATGTACGCACTAGATAAATAAAAATATAGAGGAACTCATATTATCTCGCTGAGCAACGTCACTCGCCGACAAGAGCACAGTCCAAGCTCGTTATAACAGACCTTGATTTTGACCAAGGTTTCGGTCTGTTGTAAGAGGACTATGTTCTATGCAGATATGAAGTTGAGTCAATGGTGTGGAGAGGAAAACCAACCCAACTTCACAAATCGGTATGTTATATCCAAATGTCTGTTGTAATGAGCTTAGACTGTGTGCCCATCCGGTTGGCAAACAATAAATAAGTAAAAGGGTCGTACCCCATCGTGCTCTCCAGCTGTCAGCTCTCTGCCCTTTTGCCACGGTAGAACCAACTGACAATGAAGCTGTCAACTTTACAGCATGCTTCAGTTTGTCACGCCACTAAGTCACGGAAGGAAATTAAGTGTCGAGAAATGTTAAAAAGCGCGTTTCGTCGCCCAAAATGGAACGAAATTTCCCGGTTTTTTTAGGATCGCCAGGATTCCCCAACAATGTAAAGTTGGCAGGGCGAGACAAGCGCCCCTTCTTCAGGAGCTTGTAGCAACGAAGGGAGTTGGGCAATCATGTTGCTAGCTTATCCAGACACGCGTCCAAAAATGACGCAAAATACTTTTTATCAAGACCGACGGAGAAGGTGCGTATGTGCGGCTAGGGCAAGATTTTGATGCAATTACTCGCAGACTTGCGCACAGTGCCCGGCCCTCGTTATCGTCGGGCAAGGGGAGACGTGCGGGAGCAGGCCCCATGACGAGAAATTACGGCGGGCAGGGCCAAAGCTTTCGGGGCACCGGAATTCCCCAAAACATTTGACTCTCTAAAAGAAAATTTTAAAAACAAAGTCCGAGGAAACGACGGGGCAAAAGGCAACCTCATCCTAGCGTGGTACTCGAGCGACAATCTTTGAGCAAAGAATGGTTGTTCCCTCCTGGCAGCGCTAGGGCGGGGCCTGCCCTCAGCTGCGCTTGTCCGTGGCCCTCCCATCGAGGGTGAGCAGGGCCTTGGCACACTGAAACTCCTGGTTAGACAGGGAGGGCCCAAACTTGCCCTCGGGGTCCGACGAGGAGCCCTCCAGGCAGGGGCTCGGAGAGACCAGCTTCCGCCGCTTGTGCACCAGTCCGTCGTCCTCTGCGCAAGAATGCCTGTTAGTCTGCGTCTCCGCTCAGCTCACTTTAGCAGAGTCAAGGCCAGGGAGGAGGTCCCCTCCGGCATTTGCTCTGCTCAAAGACAAGTTTCCCCTCGCCGACTACAGTCTCGGAGCTTTCTAGCTTGCTCGGCCGTCGAGCATGCTGCCAGCCAAACCCTCCCCAAGACGTCGTCATGATCTGCGAGGTTCATGGGATCCCTGGCCAATCGTTTCACTTGAACGAGGCACAAATGGCCGAGCTCCTCTAGAGCGGGGGTCTCCAGACTTTAAAGAGGCACTGACACGTCAAAATCATTTTTGGTTATTATCCGAAACGACTGAAAACTATGCCTGGACATAACCCTCGAAATTCGAAACTTGGGAATTCAGTATTTGTGAAGTAAAAAAACAATGTCCAAATGCCGAATTTCAAGTTCCCGAGCGATCCGCACCAGTGCAGTGACGTCAATATTGAGCAGCCCTGCGACTTCCTTTCGTGCCTCCGCTCCAAACCGCCGTCCGACCCGAACCGAGGAGGTGAGGAGCGGGAAAGAAGGCCTTACGGAGCCTTACGGAGTCTTTTCCAATATTTGTTTCGAGTGACAACCAGAAACTTGGTATCATTGTGCTTGTATGGATTAGATCTAGCTGGTGATGCTATTTATATGGGGCTAACACTCTTTGCCATATCATAATCGATAATAATAACAAAGTAATTAATATGAAATTTTAAGGTCTTCAAACATTGATGTCTTTTTGCGTTGAAAAGGGCTTTTAAAAGAATACAATTAGCATCACTGGCTAAAGCAAGTCTTAGGCATTATAGCCATGTATTTCATGTTCGTGTTTGATGAGGTGAAATTACCCTAAAGCCCCGCAAGAAATGTCCTAAATATATATCTAAAAAGCTTTGTATCTTTTGATTGCATGCAGCTATTTAAAAAGTACCGTATTTACATGAATGTAGGTCGACCCATTTTTCAATTTTTGAAAATCTGAAGTGGGGGTGTCGACTTATAATCGAACCAAAGTATTCCACCTCCGACAAAAACGAAAGAATCGCGATATCAAGAACACCTCTGCTTGTTATGAGTACAGCCAGCTGTGCCTGCAGCATTGCGCTATTCTCCACGTTTAATTTACAAATTCTTTTCTTTATAATTTGCGCGAACGCGTTTTATTGATAGCGTTTCCGCAAATTAACTTGAATGTACGGCTGTGCACAGCGCACCTGACTTCCGGGGGTGGCAGCACTTCTTGTAAGAGCCAGTCCGGAGGCTCCTGAAACAGCCTCACTGCTCACTCCCCGCGGCGTCTTTTCGCAGTTTTTCGCGCAATTTACGGTCGCACGTCATTCGATCGAGTGTCGAGATCATGCTGGAGTGCTAACTACGTTTCTTTTTTTAGGGGCGAAGCTCCTTAGGGTCTAGCCTTGTCCGTCCGGCGTCCGTGCTCACATCGATCTTGCTGGTGCTCGTGCTCGTGAGCTCACGTGCTCACGAGCACGTGAGCACGTGCTCCTGTAGGGCAAAAAAATAAATAAAAAAAGATAAAAAAAAGAAAAAAATGCTTGCGCAGGTGACAGGATTTGAACCTGTGCGGAAAGACCCCAATGGATTTCTAGTCCATCACCTTAAGCACTCGGCCACGACTGCAGGACGAGTAGGGGGCTCTGAGATGTGGTAGTAAATCAAGAGCAGGGGATGTCAAGTGGTGGTTGGCCCTCATGTCGTTGGAGGTGATATGGTGATATGTAGCTATGACCGCATCGTGCATGGCATCGACGTCGCCTTCGTGAGGCTTAAGGGCCCATCCGTAGTATGAGCTCAGTCTTGTGATGAGCTCTGCTGTGAGCCTCCCTTTGCCACCAAGGCTGGTGCTTGCTGCTCCCTTCTGCTTCTGCACAAGGCTCCGCAAAGCTGTCGCCATTCTTTTCTGTACGAGATTAACGCAGTCTTCCATCTCTACGGGAACAAACCCATAGACGTTGGTCTCTTGGAGGGCTGCGAATGAACGGCTGTCACCATCTGAGAGCATCGTGGTGTAACGTAAGCCGTGCCGCTCCCAAGACCTTGCAAAGGGAATGAGGGCAGCTTCAACCTCCATTTGGCCAGCCTTGCTGTTGGTATTTTTCTGGCATTTCCCCGTAGCCTCGTGAGAAGACTTCCAGTCGCTGTAGCCCACGGTGCCCTCCTTTGGCCCTTTTTCGCAGGCTAGGCAAAAGTTTGAGAGCACAACATGGTCTAGCACAAGCCCAGTGAACAGCTCTATTACTGTCCCCACTCCAATGTGTGAGCAGTGGCCCCTTGTCTTCCAAGTGCCGTCATAGGAAACTGCGATGTTGTTCATACTTCCGTAGGACAGCTCCTTGTACAGGGTGCTCACGATCGTTGCGCACTCCGAGGAGATTTTGCATGCAGCTCTCTTGGTTGCAGGATTGACATATCGCTGGTATGTCTTATTGTGCAGGCTTCTATGCGATATGTTTAATACCGCAAAGATATCATTGAGGGCTGTTTGTCCATTGCCGGTAGACTGCATGGCGCACGCCACGCGAACGTTGATCTCAAAGGGGGTGATCTTGTTCGGTCCTCAAACCCGCGGCGAACTCCACTCGGATGCGACATCCCCGCAGATCTTGCAACATACAGTTGAACCTCGATTTAGCAAAGTCACCGGGACCCCCTAATTATTTCGTTAAATCGGGAACTTCGTAAAGTCGAGAAAGACATTCTTCGGGATAGGCTGCGCGGGGAATCCGAATTTGTTCGTTAAATCAGGAAACTCGTAAAATCGGGTTTCGTTAAATGGAGGTTCAACTGTAGCTTGAGTTTCACTGCAAGTCCATACTCGCAATCACATTTTATGAGTTCGACATCGCCGCAACAAGCCTTACACTTTGCGAGTTGAAGGAGCGAGTTCACGACGTCGAGGCTTACGACGATGAAACTCTCTGTACTCTCGGGAGCTTCTTGATCGGCGCCCGAGACGCCAACCATCAGGGCAGCTTTCCGCGTCATAGCGGACGTCGACAAAAGTTCTTTGAGTTTTTCCTCGGCTTTTTTTTCTTTCTCGTCGATCTCGGAAGCGCTGAGCATCACCGTGTCGAGCCGCACTCGCTCGCTTGAAGTCACCGATGTCGACGGCGCCGTCGATGCGACATCTTCGTGTTCGGGCTCCCGCACCTCGTCGTCGACGTTCAGGCTCGCGGGAAGTTGAACTGCGCCGTGGATTAGCTTCCTCGGGCCTTTTTTTTTTTTTGTTTTTTTCCGAACTTGTAGGCCGTGTGAAGCTTTTTCCGCGGAGTTGTTGTGATCGGCATGGTCAGAGACGCGCACGAGAATCAAACAAGATGGCGGATCGGAAACAACGAGCAGACGCTGCGTAACCCTAACGGCCAATGAGAAAGCGCCATTTGCACACGTGATCTGAAACAGCCAACCGCGTGGCAAGATTTAGTTTTTTATTTGTGCTTCGTTCTCGGCGGCCAATCGCCGTCTAGCATCGTGAATGGCGGGAGAAAAAAGAGCGGGAGCGGAGCTTTCAAATGAGACCAAGATGTCCCCCTTCTATCGCGTTGTTCTTGAGCTACCGGCGGTCAAATTGTACCATTTTTTTTTTTGCTTTTTTGGGAGGAAGCATTTCTGTTTAGATACTTCAAATCAATACCCCAAAATAAATAGGGCGTATTTTGAGATAATACTTAGAGAAAAGATGCGAAAATACCTGTAAATATTAAAAAACATAATTTCAAAAATTCGATTTTTTTGTCATTTTTTTTGTTTTTCCCCTCTAACCGGACGACGCGGAAACCTCCTCCACCTACGAGGGCGACCCGCGTTGCTGAAAGCGCGCAAAATGTGACGTCTTTGGTCCTGAGCTTACTACTGGTCAGAGCTGCTAAACGCTCTCTTTTAGTCGAAATACAAAATATAAGTGGCGCAAACCGTTTATATTATTTATGAAAGTAGTTTTTGTTCAGTATTTTAGATGAGAAAATAAACAAATGCAGTTTAGAAAGTATGAAAAACAAGAAATGACCCGTCGACATACCTGCCACCAAACGGTGGAAAAGGCGGCGCATACTAGAAAGGGGTAGTGGGATCAGGCACCGATGAGCGGCGAGCATAGAAAGGTCCCGGATGAGTGCAACGGCGCTGCGGTCGTGTACGGGCTCAAGGATCCGACCGGTTTCGAGCGTTCCGAAGGCCTTCGGCGAGAAGGTTTGGCTTGCAGTTTGGCCGTTTGGCGGTAAGGCAGTGCAAAGTGGCTCCCGCTCTGATTTTATCTTTACCTCGTATTTGCAGTCGTTTGTGGCCATTGAAGTGTCATGCCGGATTAGTGCTCAATCGCGCAGCAAATGCAATGTGAGCCACCCTGGCTGCCCGCTTCATACAGCCCATCCGGAACATGTTTTAGTAGCGCCCTCTCGAGCCGTCGACACAGAGTGCGTCAGCCGTGAGCACTCGCTGAGCTCACTACCCCTCCTCTAGTTCACGGCCACTCAAGCGGCCAAAGACGTCATGAAGGAGGTTATTTTTTGCTTGCTTTTGTAAACTTAATTAGCCTAAAAATTTTATAATAAAGCGAAATACGAGAAAAGAACAGTTTCATTAAGTTACTACCTTCAGTGCGCTCAGGTTCGGTGCAAATTAAGAGCCAGTAAAAAAGACCTTGCAGGGCCCCTTTAAGGATGTTGCGAGACTTGCGAGCTCAGTTTCAGGTTTTTTACACGAGCATTAAAATTCAGTTTACTCTCAAACGTGAGACCCAAAATTTTGTGCTGAGGTTGGACACTAACATTACAATTGTAGATTGTTAGGGATGGTTCAAGAAGGATTCCACGTTTGCGGGTGAAGCAAGCACATGCAGTCTTTTCAGGAGAGAACTTAAACCCATTACAGTCAGCCCACTTAGTGAGTTTGTTGATGCCTAGCTGAACCCTGCGTTCACAGACTGAGAGGTTACAGGAGGAAACTGACATTTGTAAATCATCGACGTAAAAAGAATACTGAACCGACGGAGGGATTACAGAAGCAATGGAGCTTATTCTAACTATGAACAAGGTGACACTCAGCACTCCCACTGTGGCACTCCATTTTCCTGCAGAAATTCACGAGTGTGTGTTTCCCAGCTGGGCTTGAAAGGTGCACCTGTCTAAATACCTTTGAACTGTGCAAAGTATGTGACCCTGCAGTCCGAGGTCAAAGAGGCATTTCCAAATGCCGTAGCACCAAGCCGTGTCATACGCTTTCTCGAGGTCGAAGAACACGGAAAGGCAGTGGTGCCCGTGCACAAAGGCTTCAAACACAACGGTCTCGAGACGGACCAAGTGGTCGACAGTAGACCTATATGAACGATAGCCGTACCGAAATCTGTCTAGCACCTCCCCATGCTCCAGAGAGTAACAGGCTTGAGCTGAGCTAGTTGGTTCATAGTTCACTTAAGGCCAGCTGAACTAGAAAAAACATACACATAAAGAAAAGACCATTCACACCGCTGGACTAACAACTGATTTTCTTTTTCCTCCTCTTCTACTACAAGCCACACTTGAGGGAACAATTCTCTTCTCCTCTTTTTTGCTTTCTAACCCACCTTAATTTTTTTTTTTTTCTCCTAATTTCCCTTAAAATGTTAACCCCGAAGAAATCTTTTTTCTTTTTCGTGAAGCACGAGAGAAGGTGCACTAACGCAGTCATCCCCTTTTTCCTCAATGGCAAGTACCTCTAGGATTTCACGTCCCAGTTTTGTTTTGAAAAATTTTGTTTTTCAAAACAAGACAAAAAAAAAAGTTTTGTTTTGAAAAAACAAAACAAAGAAAAGAATGGTCTTTTCTTTATGTGTATGTTTTTTCTAGTTCAGCTGGCCTTAAGTGAGCTCCAGAGAGTACCTACAATTGATCATTCACTCCAGTGTCTTACAGAGACAGCTGGTGAGAACAATGGGCCCATAACTGGAAACAAGCCTTCAAAAGTGGTAGGACATGCCTTCCAAGATGAAGGGAAATAGCCCCCCTGCCATAGTGCTTATAAAGATATAAAATGACATCGAGTGTAGAAAGATGGAGATGCTGTAGCACTGAATAATGTAGACCATCTGGTCCAGGAGTTGACGGCTTTGTGTTACGAAGAACAGCCAGGAGCTCGTGCAAGCTGAATGTAGCCTTATATTCCTCATGGTCAGCTCCTGAGGTTTTCAAGGGATTCCTCTCAGCCTTCAGTTTGTGTTGAAGAAAGGCAGATGAATAATGATGTGAACTGGATACATACTCCAAATGTTCTCTAAAAATATAAGCTTGTTCCTCGAGAGTGTCTGGACATGTTCCAGTCCTAAAAAGCAGGGGGATTTTAAATGGATGATAATGAACCATTGATCTTGCGCATTCGATCCCTGACCTCCTTAGGTGACGTACTGCTATTTATAGTAGAACCATAGCCTTGCCAACTTTCCCGTTCGGCTTTTTTCCAGACGTAGCGTGCACGGGCCTTCATCTTGCGAAAGGATATGAGGTCATCTCTAGTGGGGTATCGTCTCAGAATACCCCAAGCCCAATTTTGTTTGTTGCGTCTCTTCACATTCCGAATTCCACCAAGGTTTTGGCCTCCTAGGGAGAAATTGAGATGTCTGCGGGATGGACAGCTTGGCTGCTGCGATGATGTGCTCGGTTAAAAGACGATTGAGTTCATCAATTGTGAAACTATCTAGAAGAGAATATACTAAAACCGACGCCCGCTCAAAAGGGCCCCAATCAGCCTTGTTGACCTTTCAACGAGGAGGGCGTCTATGAATAAAAGAAGGGCAACACTGCAGGTTAAAAAAGTAGGAAAGTGATAGCTTCTATGTGGATTGCAATCCACACTCCAGGAAAAATCTGCAAGTAAAGTAGCAGAGCCAATTGAAAGGTCGATGGAAATTGATGACAAAGACGACGGACTAAAATAGGTTGCCTGTTTTAAAACCTGTATTAAAACTTTGTGTGGTTACAACTGACTCAACTATTTTTGTTTAACATCCCAACGTGTGATCCCCCATAAAGGGTTGTCACAATTAAAATCGCCCATCAAAAGGAAAGGCTCAGGAAGCTGGTCTAACAGCGAGTTAAAATCTGAACATTTCAAAATAAAAGGAGGTGGAAGATACTGTCAAAGCTTTCTAATGCGTGAACCGAACAGCCACTGCTTCAAGTGGTGTGGACAGTGGAACCTCTGTGCAGGGAACTTCTCTCGGGAAAACCAGCGCAACTCCCCCAGAGGAACTGACAGAGCTCGAATGATCCTTCCGGGAAACCTGGCAACGTCGCACAAAATTAGTACGATTGCGACTCCAATGAGTCTCTTGCAAGCACAGTGCTCGTGGCTTGAACTCTTCCAGAAGATGCTCTACATCGTCCAGGTTTCTTAGAAGGCCACGACAGTTCCATTGTACGAGCACTGAAGCAATTTTAGGGACAAAATCCAGATGGAAAAGTGAATCAGTTGCTTCACTTTGGAGGAGTTAAAGAGTTTTTTTTATTTTTGTTTCTTCGGAGTTTGCCACTCCATCTCATCCTGGTCAGAAACCAGAGTCGATGAGCGGGCAGACAAGGCAGCCCCCCTGTTCTCCTGAGCCCCGCAGGCAGAGTCGCCTGCTGGCCTGGGAGGGTCCCTGCCGCGGGGCCCCAATCCGCAAAAGTGCGCAATCGGTCCCTACCCGTGACGTCCAAGGCGACTGCCGAGCAAGTGGTTGATGCTGTCATTTGCAAAGTGCCAGATTTCGCTGGATGACGCTGACAGCGTGCTCCGAGAACGTAGCAGTGATGACAGGACTGACAACACCAGTGCGTAGAGGGCATAGCCTAATCGCGGACAGAGTGAGAGTGACAGGGAGCAGCCTCAGTTGTCCCGCCTCCAGCGTGAGCTTCCTAGTTCCGACAATGCCTGGGCATCTCATGCACCTCGTCCCTGCATGTGCAGCCAAAGCACGCCAGAAGGCATCGATCGCGTATTGGAGGCTGGGCTTTCAAAACGAATACTTTGCCGTTCTCACGTGTTCGCAATAAAATGCGCATCTAAAGATTTTTTTTTTGCTGACGTAATGTGAGGGGTTAACTTACAATTGTGTAAATACAGTATGCCAAATGTTTCATTTTGTAGAGTAGGTAGTTACCGCTTTACCCAGAGTTCAGATGCTAGTGAACACATGCCAGCAGGCTCTTAGCTATGCTGATATATTATAATGTCCCGAAAGAACGCCCACGGAAAATGAAAAGAGAAATGTTGAAAAACATGGGTTAAGTCATGCATAGCAAAATTTTATGAAAAAGATTGGTGATATGCACGACGCGGGGGGGGGGGGGTCCTACAAATTACGTGAAACGGGAACTGTACGCCTTCAAAGCTTCCTACTTTTTTCCGTCACCAGACTCGGGTTTCAAACATCACAATTAATTATCGCCAGCTCGCCCGCACACTCCTTATCTCTTCATTTCAGATCGCAGACAATCTCGTCCCAAGGTGCAATAGGTATGCGGGAATTCGCTCTAAACTCCCCTGTCATGGGTATGGCAGCAGAGCGCGGACCTAGCGCACTCGGGCTTCACAATGCTATGTACACGCAGGAAACCGCCACAAATAAACTCGTGTGTCACGGGAACCAATGTTAGGAGTTTGTGTGTCACAGGAATGCATACCGGAGATTGCGGACGCTGCAGATTCACGTGTCACGGTGCGATAAGCATGGGGGTACCCACGGTGAACACGCTTAATTGTCATTCAAACCAACACCACATATATCACACGGTTGATGCGAGTCCCGTCCGATATCGCGCGATCGATATCCGGCCGGACTCATTTGCAATAGGTTGATCACAATGTAACTAAACTGCATTTTACATGCGTCGGAATATATGCGAGGAAGAATGCTTATCAATATGTTTCGAAATTTCTTTTATGTTACGGATACTATTCAGCCCAAAACAGAATGGGTGATTTCTCGGCGGCGGGCATTCATACGAGACTTTACGGTACGCGCAATTTAAAGCGAGCAATACTTCGGATGCACGCGGCCATGCTCGGTGCCAATGCGCGAAGAAAACAAATAAATAAATAAATGATTTGACATTTGAGTGCTTCTGACAGCGCAACCTATGCATGTCCCGCTTTCGGAGACACCTATACGGCGTTGTTGGCTGAGCACTAATGGCACAAAGAAACGCGCCCAAACAAGTTCTTCCAAGGCACTGGTACGGGGAACGGAAAGAAACGCGCACCTTTTCTTCTGGGTTGTTCGTATTCGTCCAAATACGGTATATTTCTAAACAACAACAAAAGCCTTTACATTTCCTCGTGTTTAAAACGGACGACTTAAACAACCAACTTGCGCGGTTCTCCCTCATGCTGCTGGTGCTTGACGGCTTATCATTACGGGACCACAAAACGAGCCTGGCCAGGTATAAATCGTGACCATTCTCATTAGACAAAAATGGGCACTTGGCGCCCGTTTTCATCCGAGTCACGTGCCTTGACATTAACGGAAGCTTAAAAAAAGGAAAAAAAGAAAAAGCTGCCTACTTTTGGCGCAACATTAGCATTTTTGAGCAGCATGGCGCAGCAGAAGTGGACTGGCACACAATGGCACAATCGGTCCACAATGGCACAGTTGGCGCAGCACTTCCGCCCCTGCTGATTTTGTGCTCACGACAACGAAGCTCCCAGAAAAAGACACCGTCAATTTCGTTGTAGCGGAATTGGACGGTTCCAGCTTCGAGTAGACCATCCCAGGGCACCAAGCGTGGGCAAAGACAGCTCACCGGTCAGAGCGCTAGGCAGGTAGGTGAACTCGACGGGCTCGCTGAACTCGTTGTCCGACTTGCGCAACAGCTGGAACTTGACCTTGGCCTCCTGCTGGAGCTGGGGGTCCCTGTAGCAGGGTGTCCGGAAGATGATTGCAACCTGGGAGCATTCACAGGCCGTCACCAGAGGTGCCTCCCTTGCCCCACCCACAGGGAAGCCCCCACCAAGAAGCGTCGCAGAAAGCTCAAACTCCAATCGCGGTGCGGGCGCTAGCAATGGCCACGTGGTGGAGAATGTGGCATTGCCCCGTTGCGAGACAAAACAGAAAAACTAAATCTCTCTACAGCATCCATTTAGGCCTAATGTTCGTCAAACAAAGGAAGGGGCATACGTGGCATTTATTTTGAAGACCAAGGCAATCTTTTGTCCCTCGGCGAGGGGATTTATTTTCGTCAAAATCAATGCCACAGAGTCCACAGTGTGGAGTCCACAATGCTATTTCTTTGTTCGAGGGATCTAGAGCCACATAGGTCAAAAGTCAAGTATTTATTTCTCTCTGTTTAGAGAGGGGAGGCAGAGAAAAAAAAAGCAACACTGTTGCTTGACGAGCCTCTGCCCCCCCCCTCCCCTCTACAGCAGCAGAAAAAGAAAAAAAAAAACACACATATACATACAAATGCACAGCCTCTACACTAATAAAAAAGAAAATAAGTGAGCTAAATCATATAATCAATTTATGCTTTAACTATTCAGGAACGTATTTAAGAAAATCATTAACAAAAACAGAATGTACATCCTTCCGAGTTCCACCCAAAATATTTATATTCAATTCACTGCAACAATTTAAAAGGCGCGGTAGTGTATATCTCAACATTTGATCGCCGTAATTGGTCCTGGAGTGCGGTATTGCCCACGCATCTTCAGAACGACTGTTGTAGACCATTTCCTTAAACTGAAGATTTGAGATCGATAAAAGTAAACTGTTGTTACAAAACAACTTTTTATATGCAAGAGGTAATTTGTAACTATAGTGACTGGTAATTGGCACAATATTAAATATCTGAAACAATGGTTTCGTATGGTTGTCGTAGCTAGTATGACATATCATACGAATCACCCTCTTCTGAAGAATACGCATTTGATTGATATTCGTTAAAGTCGTATTTCCCCATACCAAAAAGCAATAGTTGTAATGAGCGTAAAACAGAGTTGTAAACGAGTATCATAGCCGAACTAGGAATCATGTGGCAATCATAGGTCGGCATTTTAGAGCCCCTTCATTCACCATCATATCACAGACAAAATCACGCCTCCAAATTCATTCGCATTCACGTCACAAGGTACTCTGACCTCCCAAATTCGTAGCCCTTCACATCGCGGCGTTGAACCGCGCCAAAACTTCATCCCCTTCACATCACGGCTTTCAAACTCCGCCGAGAATTCATTCTCTTCACATCATGTCGTTCAACCGCGCCAAGAATTCATCCCCATCACATCACCGCCGCCTCCAAGTTCACTGAATCATTCACCATCACATCACCAATTCACGAATTCATTCACCATCACCCTGAATTCATCAGAATTCACCATCGTGAATTCACCATCACATCATGAATTAGTCCGAATTCACCATCACTTCACGAAGTCATCTGAATTCACCATCACTTCACGAAGTTATTCGCCATCACGGTCAACACGAATTCACCGGAATTCACCATCACATCATGAATTCCGCATGACTCATGAAGTCATTCAGGTTCATCCTGACTAAATTTGACTTCACGGCTGGTAGCCGTTCACGAGTTCGCAGTTCTCGTGGAATAGGACTGTGGCGCCATTTTGTGTCAGCCACTTAAAACCAGGACCTGACTCGACAAAAGGCCACCGCACTGAGGCGCGCACGGCTACGCAGCGAGGCTGATGCCCAAACCGCTAAAGTCAAATGGGTCCCTGTCGAGCATAGTTGTAACCCGAGACTGGGGATACGGACAAGGGACAAAACACAGAACGACAGGGACGAAGTCTCAAACGCAGCTACAAACTTTATTTCACAGGACAAACATATATGTCACTCGCCACCCTCGTCCCCCTCTTTTTCCCTTCCTTTTCCCAAAACTCCACCCCTTCCCTCTTCCTTTTCCCAAGCCCCCGTACATTCCAGTCAAAAACAATTTTGATGGCGCCAACTCCAAGTTGCCGACAGATCCCGTGTCAACAGCCCACACCGCGACATCCCGAGGTCACTCCGGCTCTCCCAAACACAGCCGCAAAGACGCAATATGCTCAATTTACACCAGCTAGCCTGCACCCTCACCATTGCTTCATTACGGGTCCCTGTCGTTTGCGGTGAAGGATGAAAACAACCAGCAAGCAAGCAAGCGCCTGCGTAACATGTTTTCCGCCTATTCTGAATTCATAACCGTACTCACTATCACGTCGAGAATTAAGTTTACGGTATTACTTCCCATCACGAACTTGTCAAGTTCAAGAGCCACTCACATCACAGATTCATCGTGTTCACCAGCCATTCACCATCACGTCACGAATTCATTGAGTCATTCACATCACAATGAATTCTTCACTTCACGAAGTCATTCACCATCACATCACGACTTCATTCAACACCACATCAGGAATTCATTCAAATTCACGAAGTCATTCACCATCACGTCACGACTTCATTCACCATCACATCACGAATTCATTCAAATTCACGAAGTCATTCACCATCACATCACGACTTCACGACTTCATTCACCATCACATCACGAATTCATTCAAATTCACGAAGTCATTCACCATCACATCACGAATTCATTCAAATTCACAAAGTCATTCACCATCACATCATGATTTTTTTCAATTTCAAGAATTCATTCAGGGCCATTCAGATTCACGCCGTGAATGTGAATGAAGGTGAATGAGCGAGTTCATGAATGAATTTGCCGAGGTATGGTGGCAATATCTGTATATTATACCCAAAGCCTTCCATAGCCTTTTACATGTGTATTGCACCATATCATTCCATGTACTGATTAATAGTTACCCCTGGGACTTTCATGCTCTCAACTAGTATATCAATATTGCCTGTCCCAAGCAAAACTACAGACCTAGGACTGCAATTTGTATTTCGAGATCTAAATACCACGACCTTTGTTTTACTTATGTTTAATTGCAGGGAATTTAATGATGCCCAAGCTCTTAATTGATTAAGATAATGGTTTGCATTACTTATATTTTATCTATGTTAACACCGGAAAAAAATATACTCGTATCGTCCGTGTAAATAATGCAGTTCACATTATTGTCAATATTTACTATAGTCGGTTGCAAGCTAAGAAAAAACCGGAAATGCCTCCCAGAGGAAAATGTAGTCCTACACCGAGAAACGCCAGCCAATCGTTTTCATGACGTCACGATTCCGTAAACCAATCGCGATCGTTTTGAAAAAAAAAAAGCTCAACATGCCTGCTGGCCTTAGCAACGCGACGCTAGTTTCTCGTGACAATTATTCAGCTTTTTTGCACCGTGTTTTACGTGCCCGAGGTTACGTCACGAAATCTTAATGGTATTGGCTTGCAATTGAAGCAGTTTTTGCGCGACAACGTGAGAATCCAGCGACGCTATTGCCAACGAAAATTTCGAAGCGGGCGCGAGGCTCAGCACTGCCGAGAGGTGAGAAGCTACGCCGGACGTCGTCTGCTTCGTTGGATTTCTGTCGCCTCTGCCCCACATTGCTACTCAACATAGTACCGGCACCGCTGCTTCAATTCGCTGTGGTTTCCGCGGGCTGAGCTGAGATTGCCGTGCTTATCAGTCGCAGGTGAGATCTGTATACCGGGAGTCCCAGCGCGCTGTTCCGTCGTAGAATGGACCGCGTAAATCAGTCGGTGAACGGAGCGCGATAAAACTTTCCACGAAGGTGTATTTAGACGGTGCGTTTATCATACTAAATTTTAATGAGCCTAGGTTTCCTAAACGAAAAGCGAGAAAAGAAATGCCGTAAATCCATGCAGACTGGGACGCGGTCTGCGTCCCAGTCTGTCTGCCCATAGAGATTTACGGCTTTTCTCGCTTTTCCGGGTTACCGCTCTCTCCCAAGCAGCATTCCCGGGTTACTGTCGCCAAGAGCACCACAACGTCAGGAGACTCCAGGCTCCGAAGGCCCAAGCAGTGGGCCCAAGAGCGCTCACCTGGTAGTGGACGTCCGACTCTGCGAAGGAGGCCAGGGCCTCCCAGGTCCGCACCCGCGTCTCCTCGTCCTCCTCAAAGAACTTGATCTGGATGTCCTCTGCAACCGTTCAATGCGGTTACACTTCCGGACAAACCACTGCAGTGGCAGAAACTTAAGAAATGCACAGGCGTAACAAAGACTCCGCAAGCCTCCGCACACGCCGCACAAACAAAAGATCCCAAGTCTGCGCATCTGCTTTCCCTCTAGAACCATAAATAGAGCCGGGCACAACGTTCCACTTAGTTTCGTATTTTGATACATCGTTATCAGTATCAGTGAGGCAATCGGTCCGAGTCCTTTTGGAGCACCTTCTGGGGCAGCCCAAAGTTCACTTCAGAGCACAAAAATAATCTTGGATCCTTAGACCGCATTTGCTTATTTCACTGAAATAGAATATTATAAGTTGGCCCATTGAACTAAGCATTAAACTAGAGCTGGAAGGGGGATTAGAAACTTTCCAAAATTGATGCGGATAATTTGGCAATATGGATGATAACATATTTAAAAAAAAATTGCGGGAGGACACTTAAGGGGGGACACGGTCTTGGGGCCCAAAATATTAGCAAAAAAAAATATTTTTCATTTTTTTTTTTTTTTTTTTAAATTCTTTATTCCCTCTTGCATATATTGACCAAACTTGACGTCCAAAAAATGTGTGCGTTTATATAAAAATGGTTATTTATTAGCTGAACAGGCGGGGCCCGCTCGCCAAAAATACTCCAAAATCCTCGACATTGCACCGTCCGTCATTTCGAAACCAATCGGCAGAGCACCGCCATCTTGGTTTCGTTTCAAAGAGCGTCTCTTTGGCTTGCTTTCCCACCAAACACGAGCGGCCTACGCCGCGCAGTAAAAATATACAAAGCAAAACGCAAAAACGAATAAAGCTACGCTATTTGTCCTTAGCCGACACGTTACGAAATGGCCGCTTCTGGTTGGAGCACGACTACTTCCGGTGACTTCCGGTCCAAAAGTGGGCCGCGCCATCTTGTCAAAGCCATCGCTTCGCGCTATCGTCGCTATGCCTAACCCTAGACCAAGCCCGCGTCGAAAATTTAAAACCGTGCATAAGTTCGGAAAAAAGCGAAAGAAATGTGCGACGCGTCGGCAGGAAGGGTTGTCGCAATCAACGGTGACGATCGCAGATCCCCTCGCAATGACGGAAAGCCTGCTGACGACAGAACGTGAGCCGGCGAGCGAGACGGCTGTCACGTCAACGATTTCACAACCGCCCGTCTCCCCTGTTCCGGACAGCCGAGGCAGACGCACGAGGATCGACTCAATGTTCCTTACAAGTAAAGATTGCAAAGTTCTCCAGCGGCAAGCAGAAAAAAAAAACGCCAAACTTTTGTCGACTTCTGCTACAGATCGCAAGATGAAGATGCTCGCAACTGAGTGTGATGCTGCTCCAAGTTCATCACCCCTGACATACACGATCGTCGGTCTCGACGCAGTGAACAGTTTACTGGAACTGACTGCGTGCCTGGTGTGCCGCGGATCAGTGAGCATTGAAAGGGACACGCATGACTTCGGGCTAGCTATGAAACTGAAAATGCACTGCGGCAACTGTGGCAATATTGGATCCGAATGGAGCTCGCAACAAGCCGGGGGCGAAGCGAACTGCAACCTCTTCGCGATCAACCTCCTCGTGGCGCGTGCTATGAAGGCAGTGGAAACGGTCAAACGGCACTAAACAACATTTTCGCTGATCTGGGAATATCCCACAGAGGTCTCCATAAGACCTTCCAACACTACCTGAAGACAAACCTACACCCAGCAGCTAAAAAGGCCTGCAAGAAGACTCTGACCAAGTGTGCAACGGCAGTGAAGGAAGTGTATGAAGAACTGATCTTTGGAAATCCGGGGAACATTGACGTTTCTTTCGATGGCACATGGCACACAAGAGGACACTCATCCCGCATAGGGGTGGCCACAGTGATTGAGCTGTTCTCAGGCTATGTTCTGGACTATGTTGTGTTGTTGAATTTCTGTCTTGGCTGCGAGTGTGGGCCACAACCAGGGAACCCAGAGTACGATGAATGGAAGGCTCGGCACTTGTGCCAGAAAAACACGACATGCAAGGCAGGTCAGATGGAGGTTGAGGCGGCACTGATTGTTTTTCAGCCCTCGCTCTCCCTCCACGGCCTAAGGTATACAAGAATGCTTTGCGACGGCGACAGCAGATCCTACCACGCCATCGAGGAGGCCAAGGTGTATGGTTATATTGAAGTGGAGAAAGAGGACTGCACAAACCATGTGCAAAAGCGCATGGGAACCGCACACCGCAACCTCATGCAAAAGCACAAGCAGGACGACGGAGGGCGGATCAGTGGCAAAGGAGGACTCACTGGAGACCTTATCAGCAAGTTGATCAGCTATTACGGCTGGGCGCTCAAGTCGCATGCTGGCAACGTAGACCGAATGTACTCACCAGTGATGGCCACCTACTACCACATCACTTCAACTGACGAGAAGAAAAACCACAGTCTGTGCCCAGGTGGTGTGGATTCATGGTGCAAGCACAATGCCGCCACTGCAAGGGACGAGCCCCCACCAAAACACAGATACAAGCTACCAGACGTCACCAACGCACTACTTCCAGTGTATCAGTGTCTTGCTGACAAAAGGCTCCTGCGGAGACGCCAAAGAGGCAAAACTCAGAATGCTAATGAAGCACTGCAGTCCGTCATCTGGAGCCTAACGCGGAAACACAAGCATGCGTCACTGTTTGCTGTGGAGACGGCAGTTGCAGATGCCATCATGTGCTTCAGTGTCGGAAAGCAGCAAGCTACCTCGAGCATCCTACAAGAGTTGCAACTTGACCAAAGCTGCAAGGGCGGTCAGCGGGCAGCTGAGAAGGACTGTCACCGCAGTGTGAGGGCAGCAAGGAAGCGTGCAGCCTTGGCAGCTTTCCAAGCGGCAGCAAAACGAAGGCAACGAGGCAAGCCTCACGGAGATTACTCCCCGGGAGCATTCTGAGCTGCCTGCATGTTTCCTGGGCGTGTTTTTCATTATATTCATTGATGTGTCTATGGTCGTTTGTTTTTTGTGCTTTTCTCAGATAAAGGTTTTTGTTACATGCAAGTTTTGTGCAAGGCGTAACTTCTCTCCTACTTACTGGATTCTCATCATTTTTGTTTTGACTGGGTGCTGGCTGTGCAAGGAGTGCAATAACGGTATAACATTGTGACTCTATGTACCAAAATATATTGTAAATTTGAGAAAACAAAAATATGAAGGATGAGCACTTATTGAGTCATGGCTTCGAACTTCCATAACTTTGGATAGAATAAAGATAAAAATGTAAAACCTCCCTTGTTGCACTCCTTGAACATTCAGGAACATACACATATATGTTTCAGACATTTCCCTGCTACATGTAGTTTCCTGGCCTTCTCACAATTGCACAACTGGAGAAAGGCTCTAAAACATGACCTACTTCGTCTAGAAGAAAAATAATTGCTTATTTGAAGTCAGCCAACCAAGTTACATGTAGCCTGAAAGTTATTTCTTTATTGGCCTCGAGATCGACCTAGAGGTGGCGCTACCGTCGCGCTATCATCATCATCAAAGCGGGGATACGAGAACGGCCGCCCCATAGGCTCTCCACGTTCGCGCGCGAGACGGCGTAGATTCTTCCGTTTATTTTGTCGCATACTATCGGAGGGAAAACAATTCTTGCGGAAAAGGATGCAGTACTGTTCGGTGCTTCAGTGAAAATCAAATCGTGTTGCCAGCGTGCGGCCTAAATTTATATAATCGCTTCTGTGGGTGCGTCGTCTGCTCTTCGCAGACGTTGGAAAGCATGGATCACCACAACTGATGCCTGTCTCCAGCTGAACTGGAATATTTATGTTAAATATTTGTTTCTTTTAAAATGAATGTATCGGTTCATCAACGTGCGAATTAAAAACAAGAATAAATTCCAGCCCAGATAACATAATCATAGAAGCTGTGAAATCGCAGCTTCTATGATTTTTTAACTTCTATAGCTTTTGCAGCAATATACATATTTAGAATAAAGATAAGTTAGCGCTGTATTGGAAATTACCATGCTATTTAGTTCCTCTGCCCTTTTACTGTGCGATAGAGTGTGTAAGTTTTTTTGGAGTCTGAACAAATCTACTGCGTTGCGATGAGGAGAGAGAGTCTCTTCCAGTTAAATTCTGCAAACTGCACGGTTGACAGGACAACTGGAACAAGTGAAACAAACTCTTCTAATATATCTGCCGTGACTGTAATAAACGGGTGTGACCGAGCAACGCAGCAATGTTCCTGCTATTAAATGCTTTTCTCGGTAGTGTGGGTTCACCCGCTTCAATTTTCCTGGTGAGGGCCGCGGATGTCAAGAGGCTACTACTATAAATTTCTGGCTATATAATTGTAGCGGCAGCTCTCGGCAGCGATCTAGCGCTCGAACGGCGAAGGGCCCCTCGATTAGGTAGTCAAAAAGGACAGTGTAAATATTGTAAATAAATATGTAGAGTATGATTTACCGAGCCTCTGCTCCTACATAATCTTGTATTCAAACACAGTAGACACTGCAACCCCAACAAACGACGCGCACCACGACAGAGACAGCATCGGCCGCAGCGATACTCTTTTACTGATGATGGCTAGCGACCTTCACGACCGATCACCCTCCGCCCTCACCTAACGTATATCGGGACTGGGCAGTTCATCGATTTACTTTCAGATTATTCAAATAATGCTTTAATTGCAATTTTTTTTTTTTTTTTTGCCAGATAATTGGAATCTTGTGCTGGAGAAAGTCAACAAGGAGTAAAAAATGCCTGATTTAATATTTTTCACGTCTTTATTTCTTTTGTGAAACAGGCTTGCACGGTGAATCACTTCAGCGTGCTTGTCATTTCGTCGAGGGTGATTACACTGTTTAAATATAAATAATAACTAAAAAAATACTTCATTTTAAAAGGCTTAATTCCCGCGTTCATATTTACGTAGGACTCACAATAAAGTTTAGAATGGGAATGCAATATGCCATTTATGGCATAGTAAAACCAGTAAAAAATGTGTAGTTTTAACCTCTTTCACGC